ATAAGACAGTAAAATAGTACACACACACACACACACATACACAGAGTACTTGGTAATGATTACTACGTTCTCGAATGGCGACCTCAGCCTTGCTCTCTTCTCGCGGCTCTCGCGAAGATTTGCATTGGATTAGCATAATGCAGCTTGCCCGCGAGCGTCGGCGAGAGGATAGACGTGTTATCTTACGTGTACTTGGCAGCGTGTCTCACGAGGGTAAAAGCAATACTGCCTCCTTCTGCCGGTACGCAAACGCGTGTGCTTTCGCGTCGTAAACTCGCGCATTTCTACGGCTCTCACACATCTTCCATGAAATGCGTGAACTTGACTGTGGACGCTAAAACATTAACTTTATCTTAACTCAATTGTCCCGCTTCGCTGTAGGATACTTAGGAAGTAATTTCATTTACGGCTTCGTAATGACTGCGTTTAATCGCGGTCATTACGAAGTGAAAAAATCGTATCACTATTCCTTAAACATAAACATTTAGTAAGAAGCTAAAAGAAAGCGCCTTATTTCATTATATTAGAAATTTACATGTAGAAGGCTGAAAATCACAGTGATGTAAGCGGTTAAAATATGAATTATTTATATTTCTTCTTTTCTTTAGAAGTAAATCAAATGTTGATGTTATTTAAATTGATTAACTGAAATACATTGAATTTTTGATAAATGCAAAATAGTATTCAAAATGCAAAATAAAACAGTATTCTTAGTAATCAGGTGTATTGTTTTACATTGTATTGTTTTACATGATTTTCAATCTCTCCCCCATAACAAAAAAATATGCAGAGAATAAAAATAATTCAAATTTGAATTATTTTTATCGAATGTGATAGAAATTAAAAAAAATTGTTTATATTTTTACAAATATAATTTGTTTTTAAATGCGTTTCTCATCAAGTAGAAAACATCTTTATAGATCGCGAGGAAAAATGTAAAAACAATTTTTGCAAATTTGAGAAATCTTATCAATGATACAATATTAAATGATATCAAAGTATTTCTTTTAAATGTTATTTATTTGGTTTTTGTATATATCGTCAAATTTTACTTTTCACAAATCTCAAATTGTCATGTTTTATTTCTATTGCAAAACGCCGAAATGCAGTTCGCTACACCTCGGCTTTTCAAACCACCGGAAACTATAACGCCATATTGAAAAAAATGACACCGCGGTGACTTTGTGTTATCTTGTGTTATCTTTGTGTTACGGGAGAGCCTATGCATAATCTTATTTCGATGCTACTTGTTGCAGGAGGCTCTCGAAGTTCTGCGTACGACACCCAGCACGGTCGAGCTGGTGGTGTGCCGGCTTCCAGGAGAAGATAGTAATGTCACGCCACCCGGTGCACCGCCGCCACCCCCAGCAAGACGTGAGCCGCCGCCTCCGTTACGTTTACTCAATCCTCTACCGCCTTTACAAATCGAGCCTTGCGGTGTAAGTAATAATTCCTAAACAACACTCCATGAAATACAATTATCGCAATATATGTTTTCGAGGTGAATAAACAAATGAATAGGAAATATCAGATTTAATGAAATTTACATAAAAGCGCTCGGTCTCAATGATAATTCATGATAATTTCCGTGAACAAAAACGAAGCATCATTATTTCGCGCGATTTTATATTTTATAAAAGAGGTTTAATATCATGGTTTAATATCATCGATTATATATTATTCCTAAAGATAATTATTTGATTGTTATTAGTAAGTGGAATTTAATGCAAATTTCATCGATATTATATGGTTGACAGATGTTGTATAATATAATATGACAATAAATGTAAATTTTAACAAAGAGGAATTATTAATTTTAAAATAAATATAGTGCATAGGGATAACACACCCGCATTTCATGCTAGAAATAATAACTGTGTTTAATTCCTCGCGATGATATGAATAAATAATTATTCACAAGCGTTACTTGGCTCAGATATGTATCTCTCTGGAGAAATATATATTATGAATTAGGATAAATGTTAATTTAACGATTCCACCACTCTAAATAGTGATAAAAAATATTAATGCGAATGCTAAAATAGATTTTATTTATAGAGAACCATCTTTTGAAACTTAATTCAATGTCGTGGCGCGATCTTCCTTCGAACTGTAATAATCATGATTAAGTAAAGCGATAAGCTTGAAATATACGCATTATACATCAATTCCAATATTCTCCCGAGGAAACTTCAATATCGATCCTTAAGCTAATACTCATAAACAATAACATGCATGCTAAGTTTATCACTATTACAGTTCTAAGGGAAATACGTAAAACGTATAATCGGATATTCACGTCGAATACATATATATATGCATTCCGATTCAATAGATATATTTTTCGCGCAGTTTAAAAAACATATTTTTTACGTTGAGTTATGTTATAAAAAAAAAATATTGAATTATTGACGATTACTTGATATAAAAAAAAAAACAATGGAGAAAGAAATTTTCGTAAACTAAATATATCTTTGTGTAAACAGAATTAATTGATAGAAGATCAATATATTTTTAATTAATATAATTAATACAGTTGTTGAGATACTATTAGATAATGGCAAATTACAATTTCCATTTGCAGGAGTTTGATATTGAAATGACAAAGGTCGGCGGCAGTCTCGGCTTCACCCTGAGGAAAGCGGATAGCAGCGCCCTGGGTCATTATGTGCGCGCATTAGTCCGAGAACCAGCGTTGAGCGACGGTAGAATTCGACCGGGAGACAAGATCGTCGCGGTGGACGGTGCGCCGTTATCGCCGATGAGCCACGAAGAAGCGGTCCAGCTGCTGCGACAATGTGGACCAACGGTGAAGCTGCGATTGTACCGAGATCTAGCGCAAACTCCGGTCTCAGCACTTTCGCCTACCGAACCCGATCACCCCCTCCGTCCGCCACGAACAAGCTTGAGGTATGAGGTCTTAATTCGGTAGTTAAATCTCGCTTAAGTATCGTATTTATATAATAAGATGTATCTTTTAATTGACGATATTATAAATAAGAAGGTGATTTTAAGTGAAAAAAATAATTCAAAAAATATAAATTGAATTTTCTTGGCTTTCTTGAAAATTTCATTTTCAAAAAAAAAAATTAATTTTGAGGTTTAAGAAATTCTAATCTGTTTTACTTCATGTGCAGATTACTATATTTCTGAGATTTAAGAATTAAAGTATCGGATATAAAAAGTATTATTGGAATATTGGAAGTGAAGTGCAATGAAAAGAAAATTGATAAAGAGACAAAACTGTCTGTAGATAGATGACATATATATGATAGTAATAATTCTGGACAGTAAATATTTAAAAGAAATTTCTAGAGAGCTCAGTTGTATCGTTACTCTTTTTATTCGTTTGATTTTATTTATTCGTTGACCTATAAAAGAATATTTGACAAATCTGATCTCGATTCTATCTCTCGTGAATATATTCCTTTATGCTTTTATAACATACGCAATCCGTTTCTTCAGTAACATAACCGAATCGCACAGAATCAGTTTCTGCCAACTTTTCTGCCAACAGAAAATGTCATAGATAAAAGATTGCGAATACAAGTTTTATATTATAAATTAAACTTACCAACGTGGTCATTTCCGTCTAAAATGCGATGTCTATGGCTTTCCCTATAACGAGAATTATAGTTCGTTATATTCCATATTATTTTTCAACAGACAAGAAGCTGTGGATATGTTATGCGATCTAGCAGTCCGGAAATTGTCACCTGGTACATCGAGTGGATCTAGTAGCTGCAAGCAACAATCGCCTGGAGCATCGTATAATTCACCTCGAAGACGTCGGCTTGCCACGCGTACTCCCACAACCGAACAAGGTATTGCTAAATAAATAATTAACAAAATGCACAAACAGAGTTATGAGGCATTAAAATGTAAAAGAAACAGAATATGAAGTGACTTAAATTAAAAAATAATTAAAACCGGTCGATAACATGACAATAATTTTGATAACTTATCAGTTAAAATTCTGTAACTACTTCCAAACATTCGAACATGATCTGTAAAATATTTCTCAAAACTCTGTACAAGATTGGAAGGATCAGCTGTCGACATCGGCTGTTACTTCAGAATTTCCCGGTAACGTTAAAATGACGACGGAACATTCAGCGCCGAGCTGTCTCTCGGAATTATCTCGACTCGCGAGGGATTTGGACAATCCACGATGATAGGACCTCGCGGCGGGTCTCTTCTCACGACAAAATTTCCTTCACGACAAGTGTTACCTGTACCGCAGAAACCCCCGAGAGCAAGTCGCACAACGTGCAAACGACGTCGTCGTCGGTCAGTCTCCGGACGGAGACCACGTCGGACTCGGACCAGTGCTCCGTCAAGACGGAAATCACCAATTCCCAGGCAAACACACCTGCGACCGACATAATCGATCCGCCGGCGCTCTACATCTACGACGACGGCGACAACGACGACGACGAGTCGAGGCCGACGTCCAACAATACGGCGGCCAGGCCGAGTTTCCTCGACTTATCGGCGCCGCAGGGTAAGCCGCATTTTCAGTTTTGTAGCGTCGACTCGGACGGCGAATATCCCGAGGACGGCAACGTGATTCTCGCCGAGGCGGAACGTGGCCGGCTGGCCGAGCCGAGCTACGACGACAGGAGCGTGACGGTGCTGTCGAGCGACGAACGCGACAATGATCTGCCATCCGAACCGGCTTCGATGCCGCCGGTGCTCTCGTCCACCAGCAGCACCAGCACTGTCGCCTTCAGCTACAAGAACCCGGCTTATCAGAGCGCCAATCCAGCTTGCGGCAGCGCCGGCAGCGACCCGGCTGGACCCAAGAGCAAGGTCGCGCACTCGAGCGATCAGGACATCCCGGGTAATTATTTTACGCTGCCCTTGTATCTTACTGCTCGTTTTTGCCCGTCCGAGAGGCTGGATAAATTAATGGAATCAAAGCTTGATTGATTAATGGTGAGTCTTGTTGTGACTCGCTTGCTCCTTACGCACATTCAATATATGAAATTGGCCGCCTCAGTACTCGTGCTTTGTTTAAAGCTTCATGCGATTCTTATTGTCGGTCGAGTTCGCAATATGTAATTAATTTGATTAATTGATGGGGGGTTTCTTTGTCTATTCTCTAATTCATAATTTATAAATTTATAGACATGTATTACATATCGAACAAATTATCTTCAAGCTTTAAATCCGCGTGTTTAAAAACATAGAGATGTGTGCGTTTTGTGTGTATGTGTGCGTGTTTATATATATTATGCATTATAGTAAATACGTTAAAGCTTATTATAATAAGTTCGTTAATACATAAACTTCATTATTTGTTGGTCTGAATCAATTGACATACGCGCTCTTTTATTTTACGCCGTTATCATCGAAAGCAAATCAGCGCGTTAGAGGGAGAGACCGATAAGATAGCCGCATCGTCATGAAAATAGCGATCCGACTTTCGCGGTTGTCAATCGGCATTACTTCTAACCCAATGAACTCGGTTTTTTGTCGCGTCGCGCAGGAAAGATCCTGGGAACGGACGATCCGGGTGGCAGTAAGGGACTGTTGAAGTGGAAAGGCGTAATGTTCGCTCCGAACGATGAGGTGGATCACGGCACCGAGCACGAAGAAACTGGAAAGGACACCACGGATTCGGTCGCTCCCATCGAGGATCTTGAACAAGGCAGCGAGGTAGATCCCTCAACATCATTTCTATAATCGAATTTTCTTCCAATGGATAAGCGAACCTTTGGAACCTTTAGCGATAAGCGATAATCCCGACGACGAGTAATGTTATCAATTTGAAACGTAACAATTTAATTTTTTTCTGACAAATTTTTTTTTTCTTGTTCGATCGATCCTTAGACATTGGAATATGCGATCCTCAAGAAGAACGTTGCGTCGCAATGTTGCGCAATCCGCTCTCCGTTGTTGCAGGTGTTCATGGTGGAGCTGACGCGTGGGTGGAACAGCCGACTGGGCTTCAGCTTGCAGCCGGAAGGAAATCGTACAGTGATATCAGTGGTGCATCCTGATAGTGTCGCGGCCAAGGATGGCAGACTCAGGCAAGGTGACGTGTTATTGATGGTGAGTTTTGCGTATCAAAAATCTCTCCCTCCAACTCTTACAATTTTTTCACCATTAACTTTATTT